CCGGGAGTGTATATAAAAGACAAATAGATTTTATATACACTCCCGGAGTGTATATAAAAGACAAATAGATTTTTATATACACTCCGGGAGTGTATATAGCCACGTTCTATTTGTTTTCATAAGGGCTCTATAAGGTGCTTTGTTCTGCAGTTCTTTCTGAAACCCTAATTTCTCCAATATGCACGTTAAAGTTAGCCACACGTACCTGTGTAGCATTACCAGGCAAGGGTGGGTTGTCTTGCGGCGGTGGCTCGCTCGGCAAGGGGGGCTTTTCACCCGTCTCTGACGGCAGAGGGGGGTTCTGGCCCCCCGCACTAGACGTGGGCACAGTAGACGAAGAAGACGCCGGTGGAGGATTATTCTGCTGGTTTTGCTGCAAGGCGTAGTAGTGTTGCCAGTAGAGCTGCTGCTGGTAGGCGTTCATCTGGGACTGGTGCTGTAAGGCTGCATGTCCTGCTGGGAGCCGTACGGCTGCTGATTCCAGGCGGATACATCTTGCAAACTCTTTCTCTGGGTCGACAAACGCACGTTCTTCTTTTCTTTCTTGGCTCGAAGTACGACTCACTTCCTGCTCAGATTTCAATCAAACTACAAGACGAAAAAAGGCCACGGCTACCGGCCACTTTCCTTAGTTAAGTTCCTGTCAGACCATTGTATGTGATATACTTAGAAGACGTAGAAAAGGCGAGGATTTCACCTTTCTCACCTGATTATAAAATTCATAGACGCCACATGATTACGACGGCAGCCATTATGCCCGGAGCATTGTGGGATTCCGAGGTGCATTACTTGAACGTTCCGCTAGGGGTCCGAATTCTCATCTCTCACTACTACTAGCACTGCTCTTCAAGCAGATAAGGCCACACCAAGTAAATTTTATGGATGACGTCCTTTGGAGACCCTAAATCTAATGCAAGAGGGCGAAAAAAAACAAGAAGGGCCCTAAAAAACAAGATGCCTAGATTAGAAATATACTAAGAGACGACAAATGTTAGGACACAAATTGAATGAGGTGACACAGTGTAACAAGCAAGAAGTCTTTTATTCATCATCAAAACAGCAATAAATCAGGTGGAACAGCAGTTGTCGTCCTGTCCTGTTTCTTTCATCACATTTTTGCAGGCCTGCAGAAACAAAGCATGTGCTCGTGGCTGCTCTTTACCCATTTCGCATTACGGGTTTCACGTCAATCTAACGATTTGCGGCACTGTTGTGACTCTTTGGTCATAGTTACAGGAAGCGGAATTTGTTTTTGGCGACGCCTTTGGGGCGGAGGCATTTGTTCAAGTACTACGATCGCTTTGAAAGAATTTCAAAAATTGCACGAATGCGTTCCCCAGGGAATTGGTTTGGAGGAAACCTTCGGCCATGTGGTTTTTGGATCAAGCAGGTAACTTACACCCTGTGCCCACGTGCCACCCATCCAGCTGCCTGGCATGATTAATTACTGGTCATCAGTCTTCTCCCCACACCATGGACAGAGAGCACAGCTGTCTTTGGCCAAAGACCATATTCAAACAGGTCACAGAGAGAAAAAAAATTATCTGTCCTTTTGGAACCCACAAAAGGTAAAAAAAAGTCAAAGGAGTAACAACTTCAGACCAGACATAAAATCCAGTCTCTGGTGGAGGATAGAGTGAAGTGGAGGATGGTTTTCAGTTTGGTTCTAGCGGGAACTCGACCAAAGTAAAGTAAGTAAGTATGTCATCATAAAATTTATATTGCTGGGGAAGAACGGCTGATTCCTCATATACGTGTATTTGGTATATTGCCCCACACCTCCTCCACCCAGCCTGTAAATTTCACTATGTGCATGTCTTTATAACATAGGGAAATATGTTTTTCTGATAATTGTAATGTAGATTGCTAGCTCCACCACATGAAATAATATATATCATTCAGTCGTCGCCTTGGCAATGATTTTTATTGCCTCAGCCTTGTTTTTTCTAGGAACAGGCCAAAATCAATGCGCGCGCGGACGTCATCCATAAAATTTACTTGGTGTGGCCTAATATATGGAGAAGAATCATATCGTTTAGTAAAGGTTCCTCTTCTCTTGGTACCCGCTTTCTGATGGATCACTCCTTCGAGGAGAGCGTAGGTGTTCAGAAAACCCATTTTGAATCAAATGTGTCTTGGTAGTTAGCGTTCTCGTTCTGCAGCGTTCTCGTTCACGGGGCGTGTAACGTTATAAATAACTAACCTAGTTTAACCCCGTTGATCGCCGGGGCGACTTGGGAAGATACCCTGGATCATATTCTACGTTATAGACTTTTATGTGTCCTTAAACGGGGTTACCTAAGGTCGTTACCCGATTTCCTGCACGCGCTCCGGCACAGGATATATTGATTTATCCATCTAATTTTTATTTTCCGTAACCAGGAAAGCTGTCTGTGTCTGAGTGCTGTTTCTTGTGGCGGCTGGCATTAATTTTTCACAAACTTAATTGTCTACCGCCACGGCCGTTTGTTTAGTAATTCAGTCAACGAAAAGAGAGAAAAAAAAAAGAAAACGGGCCAAGAGTAAATGATTAGAATCATTTAGATAGGAATTGATCATCGTAGTATGTAACGTTATCAGTTCAACAATGGAGATCCATTCGTCGTTCGATCGACGTTCTTTGGTATGGTCACCGTGTGGACTTATCATGTAATGATAACGTTATTTATTCTCTTCGCCTTCACCAAGAAGGTCATGTCTTCGGTAGCTTGAGTTGTGATGGTGATGACAGCAGAAGGTATTACCAGTAAGCCATGAATGGGTATTTAGTTTTCATTTTTGCAATGATATTGAAATTACAGTTAGGTCTTGAATTGACCATTTGAAGAAATTATTAGATTTCATGGCCCTATCACCTTTACGCTCTCCTCGAAAAAAGAATTAAGAAACAATCATCCACTCAGCTGATCGGAGCGTATGATAGTGATACACACTACACGAAGGCAATAAATAACGTTACATGCCCAGGCAGACGCCCCTTTGAAAAACATGATGTGCACCGACCCATCACTGACAAATGTTACGTCATCGTGTTGCTGCCCGGGCTCGCTGAACCGCGGCGGCGGCACCTGCCGCACGGCACGTAGGGATGGAGATGACGGAATGATGATCTCTCGAGGTCTTTGGCCCCATCACCGTGTTGAATGTGGATCAGTGTATGCGTGCCGGCGTGTTTGATTTATTATTCGAAATTAATGAATGTAGTCATAATACGAAATGACGATCTGGCAAGGGTCCCAAAATCGATCTGCATGCTTTGATCATGTTGAATTTATATCAGTGGACATATTATATCAATATATGTATATACCAGGGCGTATGATGTAGAATTTGAAGTTATTGCATGTATCTGTTGCAGGTTCTTCTGCTTGCTTGATTGTAGTGAACAGGTCAACACACAGGACTTTAGTGGAGCATCGATCTATAGCTTACAACATTTGGAAGGATGGGGGAATTTTCACCTAACAGAATTTTTACCTAACAGAATACAGTACTTCTTTTTTGTGGTTCCGACGGTTCACAACAACAATATAATACTCCCTAGTTATATGCATGCTTGTGGCAACAGCCTAACGGGCAGACATAAATGTCTTTTTTTTGTTTGTCGACGTCGTTTTCTAATAACCGAGTCATTGACCCCAGTCTGTTCAAATAGGGCTATAGGGGTTAGCGAAAATGACATCGCCAAATCTAAATCTCACTGGACGTAGAAGTACAAGTAAATATGTCGACATGCCAAGGAAGAAACCGTTAAAGGAAAATTTTCAAAGTCACACACGTATGTTGTAATATCGTCGAAGGTGAAAGAAAGTAAGCTGAATGGTTTTACGCCTCTTAGCTTTCATATGGTGATACACAAATATTTTCTGGTATACACATGTATACTAAAAGTTACGTAACCAATTCATATCGCAGACTCAAAGTAAAAGTAGAGAGTAGCAAAGTAGAAAGCTGAGTTCAGAGTTCGCGGCATTTTCAAAGGAGAATCTGGCGAAGAACTGGATACCAGTTACTAGTATTTCACTGCCTTATTCTTGAGTAAGCTAAAGGGAACAGGTCAATTAGTGAATATGTATACTTATATTTGACTCACTATCCTGTATCTTTCAGAGAATTCATCTAGTTGATTTTGCATTGCGTAATGTCCAGTGCAGTAATAGTATCTTTTTTTAGTTCCCGAATCTTCTATTTCCTTCTTCTGGAAACTTCGAGTTTCGTCTTGGCTTCTTGGCACTAATAGCCTACTGGGGTGTCAAGGTCGTTGAAATGACGTGGAAGTTGGCAAGATGCTGTTTACTCCATTCCATTTCCTCTATCTCACGTATATCCGACATGTGAACCGTTGATTTGTCTTTTTTTATGTTATCCGTCAAAGGGCTAAAGTTTATGACATATATAAAGGTCCGATCAAGTTGAATTAATACAGGGGCAAGTGTAGATGGTCTCTACCAGACTCGGTTGGTTGCTGACAAATCTGTACTGACCAGCCAAGTCCTCTGATAAAATGTTTACCCTATTTTGACCGTTTTCTCCATTTTTTCAGTCCCGGGCCAAGTGAAAACAAAAAAAATTAACGTTACGTTTCTGGCTACAAATATTTCTCGGATACATGCAATCTTTTTATTTTATAGACGCCACAACGTCTGAAGATTTTTTTTTTTCGTTATTAACTTTCCGTTTATTTCATTGATGAAACAACTTCCGAACTTGCGCAAACAGGCGCTCGCCAGGCGAAACCAGTTTCCAGGCGACCGGTTCAGTTTTACGCTACCTCCCACAATGCCATGCGTCGCCACGAAAATAGTGAATGATCTCATCCTCCCATATATGGTTATTCATTTACATAAGAATGCCCAAATATGGAGGGTATGACTCATGCTTTCCTTTGCAGCATAAATAGTGGTAAGCGGAGACGGTTCACCTGGTGTCACTTTACAGCGTCTTGTTGAGTACGATCTAGGGGTCAAAACTGCCTAACGAAAGGACTTTAGGACCAGAGTTGAACAACTAAACTATCAAGAGAACTACATTACATTCCAAAGGCCTGCTCTACGCACTTTAACCGAGTCCCCGGCGTTTGAGAGGGCAGCAACACCAGCAGACGGAAGGAACAGTTTCGGGCCGGAGTAATTGTTGTCAAAGCTTTGAAAAGGCCAAAGGTTTCCTGAACCTCTTGTGGGACGTTTTATCGTGCGGAGTTAGCAGCGGCAGCGCTCGGTTGTTGCTGTGAAGTGTAGGAGGAAAGTTTATATTCTTTGTCCAGCAAGTTGGTCTCTGACCACCCCGACTTTTTAATGTCTGGAGGGTTAGTTCTGTTCCCTGCCGCCGAGTTAGGATTGGAACGTCTTCAGCGCTGTGGTGAGACTTTGCGGCGGTGTACCCGAGAAGTTCCCAACACCCTCAACATGGCGGCCAGCAACCTCGCTCGCACGGGCTCCAACCCAAACCTGCTCAACTCCGTCCGGACTATCGACCCCGAGGAGCTGGCGGAGAGACTAGCCGGCATGCAGAAGCAGCCGATAATGCTAGACTGCAGGTCCTTCATAGACTATAATTTGAACCACATAAACGGAGCTCTGAATGTGAGTTGTGCGGACAGGTTTAGCAAGAAGAGACTCCAGCAGGGCAAGGCTTCTCTAGCCGACCTGGTGCCCAACAAGGAAGGCAGGGACATACTCATGAACAGACTCTCTAGAGAAATTATTGTTTACGACGAAAGCACCAGCGAACCAGAGCAGATACAGCCGTCACAGCCTCTACACGTCGTGTTGGACTCACTCTTCAAAGAAGGGAGGCAGGCCGCCATACTGAAAGGTGAGTCACCATTGGTTGATCATCAACTTCCTTGGAACTATGTCTCATCATCACAACATTTGTCATCACAGTAAAGCCACAGAGCTATTGTTTATAATTATATAGTTGTTTTGTTTGTCTGGATTATACAATCATGTCATCGTCAACCTTTACTACAGTATCTAAAATTGGATTGGGTAGCGTTATCTTTGCTTGATTTACCTATGTATATATAAATTGTTAAATCATTGGAAGGATCAGTAAAGTCAACATTGCCCTGGGTCTAAACTGAGTCATGACACTGGAAAAATATGATGATACAATTGTAATTTGATTTTAGCAACATCACTGCCCATCCCTTTTCTGTATGCATTATGTACAGTGATACTTTCCTCAACCATTTTTATTATAAACACTGAGATAAGATTTAGATAGGACTTCTTTGGTAACATATTGTTGACCTGGTAGAAGTTAATCTGATGTTTTACTTGGTAGTACATTCAGAGGCAGGGCGGTCCACAGAAACATAGAGTAAGGTGCTCCTGTAGGAGTGGGTAGTGTGAAATTCATCACAAAACAAGCAAATTTTGATGAATTTAGTTAGTATTTTACTAGTGAGCAACAATTGTCAAACTCAAAGTTTGAAAATTAGCAAGCTAAGGGTGAGAAGGAGCACAACCATGATTCCAAATTGGATAGGGAGAATCCTGAGAAGCAGAAAATACCTTTAAGAGCCTAGAGTAATGCTGCAGTAAAGTAGGGGATGTTCTGTGCTTTCCCTTGGTGTCTGCTTGAGTGAGTTTAGACCATTACATCATCACGGAACACCTGCCCTGTGCTAACAGCCTTGTCCCGGAAGATTTCCTCCAACCCAGGCAACTCATCAGCTGGTCCCATCAGCCAATGCAGAATGGAGCTGTTCTCCCACTCTCATCACCATCAAATTAGAATTATGGTCGTGTCATGCCCAAAGCTCAGAGGAGATAATAACTGTATAATGTATAGGAGCTGGCCTATCACATGCATTGTGATGTGAGCGTGCTGCTTTGTGATAGATGCATTACAAGAATGATTTTGATTCAGCTGGGAGGCAGATTTTACTAAAACAGTTAAGGACCAGGCGACAATAATGATAACCACATCATGAATAATGAAAGCCAGGCCAGTGAGGACGTAGGAGTGAATTCTACAGCCAATCAGCGGTGCCTGTGTACATCGTGGGGTGATAAGTATGTCCAATTGCGGGTGGAAACATCAGCGGGTTGTGTGTGATCCACTTATTGCTTCTCCCACCACCGGCGGAGGAGGCGGCAATCAGTTATGCATGTGACGCTCGGTGGGTGAAAGTGGTGATGTTTGGATGGAGACACGTCGGCTGAACGTGCCAAATCAATATCCTCGGGGTGCAATATTGTGGAGTAAATCTTTGCCAATCGGAGATGTGCGTGTGAAAACGGTTTGGCTCTCTCAGGAGACGTAAGTTAGCCGTTAGGCATCGAGAGCGGAGCTGCCTCCTTCCCTCCCCGGGACTGTGTAATGTTCTGCTTCTGCCAGCAGGAGTGTAAAAATGAGGATGGACGTAAGTTGTCTGCAGTATTATACATGGCGTCTTTCCCCGAAAATTTGTAACGGCCCATGTTAAATGGATTGACATCATCCCTGATAGTTTTGCTATTCGTTGGTCGTTAGGGAAGTGCCCAGACATATTTTATACCTACTGGTGTCCATGGATGGAGGTTTAGAGGCAGATTGTACAGGAATAGGCTTATGTTAGACTGCTGTGAGTGAACTATGATTATGCCATAGGCGCATGAGGTAATTGTTATGATGGCTGGGTGTCAACAGACCAGTTCTGCCAGGTCTGTTTTCATTGTCGGCCAGTGTTTTGCAGTGCAGACAGGTGACGTCATGTTTGCCCTGCCAATTCATTACAACCTCCGGCAAGATTAGAAGGTTATGTTTTCACCTTATGTTTTCATCAGGGCTGGTCAGCCAGTCCTTGGACTGGACCTGTCCTTAGCAGAATTTCATGCATTGCCATGATTTTCAAATGCTTTTAAGATGAAGTAAGGAAGGCTTTAGTGTCTTGACTAAGGGAGAAAGATAATTAAATCTGACTGTGGAGATATTTAATTAAAGCCAATAGAGAATATGGTGAGAAATTTTACAGATTGAATTCATTTCTAAGTCATTAAATATGGTGAGAATACAAGCATGGTCGCTACATGTACATTATTACTTAGTAAGGCATAAGGTTGGTCAGGGAGATGTAATGAAATTACTAGTAATACAGCAAATCCAACATTATGAAGTATTAGACCTACATGTAGGAGTCAGCATGAGTTAATGGTTGTTACATTTCTAAGCTACAGTATCTATGTCTATACCGGTAGTTTTCTGCTGTGGTGGTATTTTTTCTAGTTCTCCCCTCCAATCCATTCCTATTCAAACCCAGGGAATGTATGTTTATGTCTTCTTTCATTCCAGGCAGCACCCTAGCATCAGTAGAGCAGCTTACCCAGTCAGACAGCATGTGTTGTAGTCATTAATCATGGCAGTGCTGCATGGTTTATCTGTGCAGAGCACACGCTCGCCAAGCAGCTCACAGATCTGACTGGTCCAATAACTCGTTTCGTTCGGTGTGTTGTCTTGCAGGTGGGCTTAAGGAGTTCAAAGAGCAGCACGAGAGCCTCTGCGCCAACAGTCTCAGGAAAGTTAGCAGTACATTCGGCGGCGTGCCAGTGGAGGAATGCGACACTCCGGACATTGATTCCGAGCCGCCCTCGCTCGTGCTTCCCTTCATGTACCTGGGAAACGAGCGGGATGCGGCCGATATCAGGACGCTTCTGAGACTGAACATAGGCTACATCTTGAATGTGACGTCACACATTCCTTTGCACCACGAAGGATTCTGTGGAATTAAGTACAAGAGGCTACCGGCAACTGACAGCCAGCACCAAAACTTGTTACAGTACTTTGAGGAAGCTTTTGAATTCATTGGTATGTATGCAAAATACTGTATAGTCAGTCATCTTTGCATGTTTGTACTTAAAATTATGCTGAGTGATCTGTATATGTTTCACCTTTTCAATACGGTTTGATTGTAACTAAGTAACTATTGTAGCATGTTCTGTCTGGACATTCCTCATTGCAACATAGAGAAAAATTATGCTTTTGAAATACCCACCAATTCGGCAGAGTTTAATGATACTGTAAATAAAATTTATGGTGCTCATGCCGACTATTGTCTTATCTGGACGTGCCTCTGCGTTATGTGACATTTGCTGACATTTTGCCAACCGTTGTGCCATTGTTGCTGTTTTATCATGCAGATGAGGCGAGGTCAAGTGGAAGGAACCTCCTGATCCACTGCCAGGCGGGCGTTTCTCGATCGGCTACCATCGCCATCGGTTACATCATGAAACACACGCGCATGACCATGATGGACGCCTACAAGTTCGTCAAGAACAAGAGGACGGTCATCTCCCCGAACTTGAACTTCATGGGACAGCTGGTGGAGTACGAGACGGCGCTGAACATAGGACTCACGCCCAGGGTGCTGTACCCAAGGCTACGCGGCTTGGAAACAAGCGTCTGAGATGACAAATGTTTTTGTTACGAGACTCACCGCCAAGGTCTAGACCTTTCCTTGACTCTGTCCATCCATCTTGCACCCTGACAACCAGACAACAGGAGACCCCCCCCTTCCCTCAGGGTCGGACCAAGGGCCTCCGCAGAAGAATGGACATTTTTTTTGTGTTGTGAGTTTCAAGGTCGTTTCATTGAGAAGTTGTCAGGCCCCTGCTGAAATTACAGCGGGGTGAGGTCAGTTCATTCTTTTCATGCTGAGGGTCCTTCTGGAGTAAACATCTGTGCCTCCTAGTAGGAGCAGGGCTTGAAATACTTTATCCTGCATACTTGCACCAGTGCAGTTACATACAGAATCACCTGCAAGTTATACTGGTAGTATACTTATACCCAGTACATGGGCCAGTACAGCTAGATACCAGAAATATCTGCACAGCACTAAGCTGCATGTATACATATATGCAGGTGGTATTTCCAGCCCTGAGGAGGAAATGTTTAGTTGCAGGCAGTGCAGTGTTGACATGATGTCATAGTCTGTGGTCGGTCTGTTCTCTTTGTGTTGTTTTGCATATCTGAAAACTTATAGTTTCCCATTGTTGTTAGAAGGTTCTTGTTACCTGGTACTTGGTACTCCTGGTACCTGGCTCGTCAACTGTATATTTTTGTACACTTATAACTTGCTGTCAACTGTGCAAACCGTATCAGAATGTGTATTTTGTATTATTCTCTCTTGTTACAACTCAATTGTGTCATGTCTGCCTCTGAAATGGAGAAGTGATACGTATGGTCAGGTGTAGGACATTCTTTTGGGATGAGTAAGGCTTTCAAAGGAAACCAAATCTTGGTCTTCTACCTACATGCTCCTTCAGGGCTTGAAATACACACCTGCAATTTGCAGACAAAAATATTATAATTGCAGGTAAAATGTGACCAACTTACAATTTTTCAGGCTCAAAAATCAATGCTTTATGTAACAGCAAACAAAAGCTAGTAGTTTAGCAAAGTAGTTTTGTAGAACATCATTTGATGACATAAAAGTCTTAGATGCTACAAATCTTTTTATGATGATTACATAGCCTTTATGTGCAGCTTTAGTATTTACAGAAAACTTTTTTTACAAGCTCTGGGTAGAACTTGTATATTGCTGGTAAAAGGACAAAAGTATTTCGAGCCCTGACTTTGTTTTGTTGTGACGTACCTGTACTCTTATCTCCATTCTGCTGGACCAAACCTGCTCCTGTCCAGGTTGTTTGTTTCCCACCTTAGTTAATATTTAATCCTCTTACATGGCCTTGTTGCTGAGAAGTGAATGTCATGTGGAAATTTGCCAAAGACCAAATCTAAAGGGGCCATTTGTAAATATCATTGACCAGAGCGGGGATTTTAAATGCCTTCAGAAGAGTCTTTGTTCCCCTTTGACTGTCAGATTTTGAAAATAAAGGTTCTTTGTAATTTCCAATGATGGTTCTTCGACTTGTTTCTCTCATTTCACTATGTTAATCATTGCAGATGCAAACTGTATACCTAGCTGCATACTATTCCATCTTTTTTAGTCCTTGTTACAACAACTAAGTCTAAAACAAAAGGATATCCTGATGATCATTATGATTTTCTCTTAAACATATCACCCCCACAGTTGTAGGTAGTGGTCTCTTCCAAGTAATGGAATGTTACCCCATGGTCCTATGGTTGGATGGGTTATGTATACCCCATGGTATGTGATGCTCTGTTCAGGGATGGTGGGTAGGATGGGTTATGTATACACCCTGGTATGTGGTGTAATACACAGTTATGTGCAGGGACCATGTCAGTCATGTGTGAAACCCACAGGAATGGCTGGCAGTTGATCCCACTTGACTGTTAGAAGAAACAAACATACATGCAGGCTTGCTGCCATCCTTTTGCCTCTATGATTAAGTAACAAACAAACATACAGGCTTGTTACCGTCTTTCAGAACTCACAGTGATGTAGCAAACAAAAATGGCTACCTTTCACTGTTCAGATAAATCCTGCCTGGTAGATTGTTTTACAATACTCTTGACTTTTATGTTTATCATACAAACGTGGGTTTGCTACCATCAGATAGGACTTGGTTTTTGTTTTGTTGATGAATAAAAGCAGGTCAATGAAGATCTGTAAGAATATATTTGATTTAAAAAAGGCACACAGGCTCCATACTGTGTCACTCAACCTGTCCCTAGTGAGGAGCAAAACAAGAAACAACCCTATCTGTCTGGATGAATTTAATCAGACTGTAGCAATGATTTGTGATCTGATGAAAATATTGAGTCAGGGAGCTGCTACTAAGCCCTCACAGATAGAACTGCTAATGTTGGATGTTGCCTGCAAATCTTTCCTGTAGTTGATGCCTAGCACAAGAAGGAAGGATTCACAAGTTGTTGAGGATGTTTAAGTTGTATCTAGTGCTCACATCACAACTTTTGTGACCTTTGCTAAGCTACATCCCCACCCGGAATGTCTCGCCCCGGTGAGAAGTGTATGGACATGACGTATGCGGTATCTTCGTCTTGTTGGTATGAGTCTGGTGGGAGAAGCGTTGCCTTGTTAGGACCAGGCTGCTGAAGAGAACATGCAAGCTTGCGCACATCTATGGTTTAACCTCACAGTCTCTATTTTTGTACAGAGTAAGCTGCTGGGAATGTTTCTTACACAAGGTAGAATGCTCAGGTCAAGGTTCAAGGCTAAGGGCCTAATGTAGATCTAGAACGTCTTGAATGTTCCAAAACCAAAGGACATAACTGGCAGAGTCAACTGTCAGCATCAGTTAGATATTGTTTAATCCTGGTTCCTCATGTGCAATGTGTTATCATGCATGTTGAGGGGCTGATGTAGGGTTGATTACAATTATAGAATTCATCAATCTCATGAATGTTTGGTCAACATTGCATCAGAATGCCATCTGTTGCATACAATCTTTTTTCGGACACAACTGCATGTACTATGGAACTATTCACCGGATATTATTCTTATATACATGTATGCAAGCATGACCTCATATGCACTGATGAAGATACGTTCCAGTGAGGTGCCATCTAGTGGCAACCAAAATGCAGATGATTTTCTGCTCCATTCAAACCTGACAATCTGCTGGGTCTAAACAGCAACCATGGACAGCCTACATGCCTTTTGATTAGATTAAGCCTGCTGATTAGATTAGGTAAGCTGAACTTTAAGCTGAGACAGCAAATATTGTGAAAAGTTTTTAAAAGGCTGCTATAGCTTCACCAGGCAAATACGATATTCCGTTATCGGGGAGGAACAGCCGTGCTTATTGATGTGGAACAACATTAAAAACTCATCAATCTCTGTCAGGGGAGGTCAGCAGTCAGGTGGAAAGGAGAACAACCTGTTTTCACCATCATCATCATCCAACGACCTATCAGATCAGGAGCAAGTGAACACAACCTGCTTTGACAAATGTGTACTAAAACTGTAACAGTAGAGGTGGGATGAGCCTGGGTTAGGTGAAATACAATTGCAACATAGAAGTAAATGTGTGTCTTGCTTGGCATTTTATGAGGGAAAATCTTATCTTGATCATTCTCCTTATAATTATACCATACATAATGTTTGGGGCCTCTGTGATGTAAGATGCAAAGGTGCAATAGAAATCTTCTTTAACACCGTATGTTATCCTAAAAATACAAAATGAAATGTAAACAATGACTAGAATGGAATTTTAATGAAACTCCGTTTATTGACTAACAAAAGTCACATGACTAATAAGTTACATTTATCAATGAAAAGCCCTCCTCAAAACATTTGAATTACCAACAACTTTAGTAATTGCATGCAATGATAAAAGACAGGAAGATAAAGCCAAACTATTCTAAAATTGCAGATTTTTTTTCACGCATAGACAACCTTGCACTTTCATTGAATGATGTCTAACTCAACGACATTGAAGTGTTTTGTCCTTGATTCTGAAGGTCAGCCTCAGTAATGGCAGGCTGGTTGATACTCTAATCTCCGCTACAGTAATTTAGACTTTAATCGATCTGGTTGAAACGGGAGATGTGTCTGTAGACATATCAGTGACTAACTCGTGTGAGATGTAGTCTTCAAACAATGAGTAACGCTCCGTTCTGACCACATGACACACATTCAGTGCGGTACATCACGGTATCAGGAGATTGTGTGACTGACAAGTCAGCAGACGACATCGTCTCATGAGACGATGACGTCAACAATTCCTCCGATTCGGACCGGTCCACTGGCGATCAGCTGTTCACATTCCACGTATGACATGTCACTGTACCCAGAGTGCAGGCCAAGAATTTTTCATCAAGTTAGTAGACTATGAGCCGAGCTTACGAAGATGTTCAGAATCTACTGGTTTACATCATTGTTCTCAAAATAAAGGTATTATTATACACCCATTACCTTAGACCTACATCTGTTCCTTAGACGTGTACCTAGCAAAATTCACACACCATAATGATATCCACATAATACCAAACTTATCGTTTTAACGCATTTTTGATCATGAACTGCTAATCAACAATCTATTTTTTTTTATTTTCCAAACTTCTGTAATAATAAGAGAAAACGTTCGTGACATATGTTCTGACCCCACGTTTTAAATTCAAAAGACCGTTCATACTTTTATATCTATTTTCAGGCTTCCCATCCGTTTTGGTAAAAGAAATTATTGTTTCACAATATAATGATGATGAACCGGCCGGCAATCAGTTTCTCAGAATTCCGAAGCACACGCAACTCCATCATCACTTGTTTTCTGGAAAGCATAACAAAACGGTAGCTCCCAGAGAAAATATTGCAAATGCTCCGCAAATTCTTTTTACATGTATCATATTTATTCTTGTCCAAGCAGTTACTAATACTGGCGCATGTGTGAGGTTTTAGACACTCAAACTCCGAGAATATATTCACGAAGATTATGTTTCAGTGTGTAATGTCGTCTTTAATTACTCCGAGAACTATTATTTCCGATTCAGTGCAACATCTAACGGGCCACCGATGCCCTTTTTAAGTAAGCTGCGAAGATGAGAATTTTCTAATCTAAAGACCAAATTATAATCTTGCATTCTTAACCCACCAAAACATAGCCTTCTAAGATGTAAACAGACCGACACATGACGCATACTTTCGGGGTTGCGCTTCAGCCTGTAGACTTGAAGTTCGCAACTAAATTAGGAGTAAAACCGCACAGGACATGAACACCACTTTGCTGACCTCCCACCGCCAGGAAGTGATCTGGTCCAGGAGAGGTTTTTAGTTACCGGTTAGTATGACTCACACATATCCTTGAAGGGAGGTCACTGTGAGTCAGTGACACGACCCAAACCACATTACATGCCCATTTTTGTCCCAACTCTGCCTATGACTTGCAAATGTCATAGAGCGCCATGGAGTAATAATAGCACGTGTGATATTTCCATTCGGGACACTCTATTTTGGTAAGTCAGTAGTTATATAGAATTACAAATGTACTACAACGGCCGGCTGGAAAATGAAATACGATTTGATATGGGAAAGTTACCGAGGCATGTAACAAAACTGAGAAGAAACAACTGAGTTCAGGCCGTAGAAGCATTACGTCATTTTTAAACGACTCCAGAAATAAATTCGAAAGTATCGCAGCCGTGACTTAACAACCGTACAGAAATAAAGCATTACACTATTGAATCTATGACTATAACCTTACAGAAATAAAGTATTACAGCGCTACCCCTCTACTTTACGGCCATAAAAATGAATAATGTGACCTTGTATTGAGCGTGTTGACCTACGAGGGTATACGTAGTTATCAACTTGTTGAACTGTTACGGAGCGCTTGTTATAGATCGTAACCACACAATTTCTTAACCTTTAAAATGGTTCGCAACTTGGTTTTCAAGAAGTCCTGTGGTGCAAAATACATGTAACTTGGTTCATTTATCATCACAACATCTATCCGCATGCGTGCTACACAAACAAAGGTGCAATTGTGGCCCGAGTCCCATTTTAAGAACCTGTCCATTGCCCTGAGATCACTTAGACAAAGTTCCTCAGCACCTGTCACCCTCATCCCCCTCCCTCATCCCAACACATCATCTCGTACCCAAAGGAGCCTACGTATACCAAGGCCCAGTGGGCAAAGGGCTATTACAAAAGGTATCATTGAGGGGGTGTCTTTCCAGAATGTGTCAGAAACTCTAATGAAACCTTCAAGAATATACAATATATATAAATTAAATATAACGAAATACTGATGTCTATCTAGAAGCTTTTATTTTCAACAAATTTGTGGATTAGGAAAATGAAGAATCAATTTTCTCTCCCCTTGCTAACAGTGCCAGTGGATTAGTCCATCATGGAAACGGAGGTCAAGGGTTGGCTGCCTTGACAACCGTTTCAAAATGGCGGCGCAGGAGAGTATTTTTGCTGGTCTGATCCCAACAGTCGCTGATATCACCAACAACCTCCCGTCCCTGCAGTTCGAAAGCGCGCTGACAGACCAGGAGAAACCCCTGCTTGTTCTGAGGACCAGATCTCACGCCCTGACAGTGTGCGCGTGCGCACAGGCGGCGTATCTGGTGGCTATCCTGAACGAAGCAAGGTACTATAAACTTAATCTCCAAGCAGATCTTTTGGTGGGGGTAAGACAGTATCAAATTGGCCAGTCTGTATCCATTTCCCCACGGATACAGACTGGCCAATTTGATACTGTCTTACCCCCACCAAAAGATCTGCTTGGAGATTACTATAAACTAACGTACTCACGATAACATATGAACATTTTCGACTACGAACCCCTATTTGCCTCTACAGATTCGTCGTAAATGGAGAGTACATCACATCTGTACAATACTTACCTTAATGCTTTACAATCTGTTTTATGTCAAGGTGTCAATTTTATGGAAAAAACAACAACAAAAAACAAACGCTGGATTCGTGGGAACGACAAAATTAACATGTATGTGGCTTCCTTTGGTCAATAACGATGTTCATGTTTTCAATGTTCGTTATCTTCTGTGTTTTAGATTTCAGTTTGTTCTATGAATCGCAGTAATGTTACACCAGAATACACAAT